TCTGGGGCCCCCGGGGGGGCCGTGTTGGTGGGGGGGGGGGGGGGGGGGGGTCAGGCACCTGCCAGCTACCCTCAGCCCATTAGCCTACCCCGAACACAGGCAAAAGCATCTCGCCAGCTGCATTTGCAGCTCTAATACGCAGGGCGCAGGTCTGGCAAGGAACAAGGGGGCAGCAAGGCTGTTAAATCACGGAGCCGGGGCACCTGCAGGACTATCAAAGGGGCCACGCATGACACGGACCCATTGCACTCAAGCCACCAACACCCAGAAGTTACTAGTGACTTGGACCAGGCTCCCACCAGACCCAGAGGCCCCCCAAATCCTCAGCAATGTCAGATGACAGGCCCCTTGGTTACTTACTGCTCCAGGAAGTCCCAGATGTGCTGGAAAACCTCTGGGCTCAGGAATTCCCTGGTCTGCGAGCTCTGGGACATGGCGGATCGGTAGTAACTCTCCTTCCAGGAGAAGTGTCCGGGCGTTTCTACAAACCTTGAAGAGACAAGAGACCAGACAACACTCTGGGGGCGATCGCACAGGATCCTCAATTCACCAGCGCCGAGACCCGTCCCTAGAAACGGCTGCGCGAGAAAGGAGATGTGTGAAGTACCCAGAGCCACCGCAGCTGCATGCGGGAGGAAGAGGTGCTCATCGCACTACACCCTCCCTGCACCCCGCTGGGATTGTGTGGGGGAAGAAATCAGCCGACTATGCTGCTTTCCACCCCAAAACCATCACCCCAAATGTTCTGAGCTGATAGAGGGGAGGAAACACGGTACAGAGCACTGGACTGGGAGCCAGGACACCAGCACCCTACTCCCAGACACACCGCTGACCGGCAGAAGAAAGTGGCATGAGAGACTTTGCCTCCCCACACCTGCTTTCACTTGGCCATTTCTCTCTCCTTTCTATTTATGGTTAAAAAACACTGAGACTGTTTCAGGGAGCCCCTGAGAAACAGGAACTTGAACAAAAATGGGTGCTCTTAGGATGCTTTCAAACACCGGCGGCGACAGCACGCGTGCTTCTGCTAAAGCTGCTCTTCCACTCGCAGCTGTACAAAGAGGATTTTTTTAGTGAGTTTGCACCAAAAAAAAGAGACCCAACTACATAGTGAGGAAGCAAAGTTTCTCGTGTCACCTTCCACCGGTCAGCGGTGCGGCTGGGAGCAGGGTGCTGGTGTCCTGGCTCCCAGCCCAGCACTCTGTACTGTATTTCGTCCCCTATATCAGCTCAGAAACCTGTCTCCTCGTGTGTGTCCCAGACGATCGCAGCTGCAACAACAAAACCCAGCTACAAAAAAAGGGGGCAACAGATATCTTGTGCATTACCACAAGGGACAAAGCCCAGGGGGGCTCCAGAAGTGAAAAGCACAGTCCCAAGGTGCGATCTAGGCAGAGGTAACAGGCCAGCACCCAGGGTGGATTGCATTTAAGTCACAATTTAAATCACTGCTCAGGAAGCTTTGATTTAATCCCTGGGCTTTTTTTGTTAAAAAAGGGCATTCTTGTTGATTGATCTCCTCCATTCGTTTAACTTCTTGACACTTTGCACTTGCAGAGAGAGAGGGAAGGGCTCGACTCTGCACGCAAACTTGCAGAGAGACTAGAGGGCTGGTGGGTGGGCATCAGGTCTCTCCTCTCTCATCTCCACACAGCGCTGTTAACGAGGATGTGATCTCAAACTCTCCCTATGCCTGAAGAAGGGCACATGTGCCCAACAGTTTGCAAAGAACAATTTTCCCAACTATTTAGCCAGTTTAATATAAGATGTCACATCTACCCAAACAGCCTTGTTTGCCTGTGATCTCTGGAGAGACAAATCCAGAGTTTGAGACCTGAAACTCAGCATCACAGAGATGCGTCATGGGCTCTTCCAGACTGAGCACCGAGTCCCACTGGGTAGAGTGGTTTTCTTTAATCTTTGCTGGAAACCCCCTAAAATTGGGCCCCTAAAATTGGCCACAGCCTGTTGTGACCTATTTAGAAAACTTTTCTAAAAAGCTCACAGGAATATATCATCTCAAATACCATATTGGGGGCTGGACCCAATGTTCCCTTCCAGCCCTAAACTTCTGTGAATAATTAGAAGTTATCATCCCTATTCTACCATGATATCTTTGAGCCTTAACATACCTTAAATTTAAAAAATATATATCTTTACATAAGTTGTTTTTTTAAAAGCATCTTTAAAAAAAAATAAAAAATACAATTCAATCAAAAAATCTGATTTAAATTTAAAAAAAAAAAAATATATCAATTTTTTCCTCTTTTTTTTTTTTTTTTTAAATCACTTGTTTCCACCCGGCGCACATCCTCTACGCAACAGGCTAAGGGGCAGATATAGGGCATGGTCCAAAGTGACTTGTCTATATGTTAACCTACCTTGCTAACACAAATCACACACACCTTGCTGGAGTCAGAGCAGCACCGTGCTCGGTGCTGTACAAACTTAACAACCCTCTCGCTCTTCTTTTTCCCCAGTCTACATCATGCTCCCAGTAAGGGCTCCCAGTGCCTCCCAACCCTCCTCCACCCAGGCTGTCACCCCTTCTCCAGGCACTCCCCAGCACACAAATAAACCCAGGGAGAGGGTGAAACCCTGAGCTCCCCTTGCTATAATGCCCGAGCCCTTGCTCTAAAAGATCCCTGGCCTCTGCGCAGCACCCCCTTTGCGGGACAGGGTGCTGCATCCAGCACATCCTGCAGGTAAGCAATCATTTTGTGCTGTTCTCTCTTGCTGTAAGCAGCCCTGAGCCTTTGTAGGCAAGTTCAGCACATGCAAAGATAAATCATCCTGGAGAGCCCCAAGGTGAGCCTTGCACAGCGCTGCTCACCTCCCAGCAGCGCGCGCTGCAAAGCATCAGCTGTGCCAGCACCCTGGCTGCCAGGTTGGCTCCTCACCCACCTGCCAGCAGCATTATTCACTGCCTCCCAGGAATTCAGCCCCCAGGAAGGGGCTATGACTAAGCAACCAGCTCAGAAGTGACTCAGGCAGGCACTTACCAGAAGGATACCAAAGAATTGCATCCCAGGGACACTGACCAAGGGCCTTGCTTCAATCAAGCAGCTTCTCAGCAAGCCCCAGCCTGCCTGCAGCCCAGGCTCCCCGCCCTGCAAAGCCCCAGGTCCTACAGGTCACAAGGCTGGGCCCAGCCCCATCCACCTGGCCCCAATCACCAATATAGCTTTCTAAATTAAGGGACAATGCCAGGAGATGACCCCAGTTGCATAACAGGCCAGCACAACTGACCCCATTGTTTTTCAGCTCCCTATTTATTGATGAGAGAGGAAAATCTAATGCACTCCCCCTGCCTCAGTCCCCCCCCCCCCCC